AACTCATATGGACAACTTACCGGCATAATCGTTATTTGATTTCATAATTTAAACCAAAACTAATACCAATATTAACATTTCTACAATATTCATCACTAATATTTCTAAACACAAAATACATACTACCTATGAGTTAAGTTATTAACCAACGGCTATTAACACGCATCGTTTTATTATTATTATTATTGTAACCCCATTTTTTATAGCTCAAATAATCATCACCCAAATTTTCATTTCAAGAGTTTTAAGCATGAAGGCAGATATTTTAAAATTATTACATGTATTTCCCGACCAGATGCTGCTGCTTTCTTTTTGATTTATCTTTCAGCTTACCAATACCCGGAGGATTCTTACTAGTCTTGGTAACCTCCGGCCCGCGACGATCCCATCCAATTCGGTATCGAACCAACATCACGTTGATTCTGGTGGGAGAGTAGTGTAGTGGCATTAGACAATAGCCACACAATCCACAAAGCTGAACACGAGACTACTCAGAAAATAGATATTCAATATTTAACGCGGAGAAATACCTAACAATGGAGAAGGCGCGAACAAGGAATTGAATGGACTGGAGTTGATCGAGTGGCATGGCTCGTCCATGCAGGCGTGGTCCATCTCAGTGTTACTTTATATCTTCTATTCATATTAAATATATTGTTCTTTCTCTAGCCTAACCTTGTTCCTCATCATGTATTGGTAATTGATACGATACAGTGAGTTGGTGTAGTCGATGGTGTGACTTCCACGTAAGATCTTATAGATTAGGCAGTTATATCATGACAAATCGACAAGTTTAGGATTAGGTCTATTATTAGAGCAGTACTAATATCATAGTAGACCATAATTCTACAAATCTCCGGCAACTGCACAATCCATTCGCATCCCATTTTGAACATGGTCGCTTGAAAGTATAACAATGACTGGCGTTCAACTGGTGATCATCGGTGACTGAATGCAGAAACCACTACTCATTGTTACCTCTTGCCTAAAATCCATGACCTTATAGCTACTCTGAAAATTACGACTGTCTTTACGATCGACTTAGTTAAACGTATTGCCTGATTACCATAGGGATCACATCCCTAAACGGATATCTTCACCAAACAGTAGCAATGACACAAAATCGGTTAGCCATGTTCACATGGATTGTGTAGTTTCATGACTTGTAGTATAATAAAAAGAGTCAGTGTGATGACCAGTTCTCTTGAATGAGTGTGGAGTGATGAACTTCTAACTTTTAGTGTCACTGGACTATAACCATACAACCTTTGAAGCAGAGCATATAATTACTGGAAAGATTTATATTAATCAATTGACACGAAAAGAAGGTTAACAGTGGAGAACGTGGAAGCGTTCATTCAATTCAATTAGACGACACTTTTCATCCTCTTAGACGTGGTCATTCTGTATAACCTATCTTTGCATTAAATATATTATTCTATCTTTGGACCAAAATATGTTTTTCAGAGGCTCTAGACGTTATATTGCTGATTCTTACGATACGACGAATCAAGGTAGACAATGATGGGATCGCCACATAAGATCTCATAGATTAAGTTGTCACATCATAACAAATCTGCAATTTTAGGATAAGTTCTATCAATATAGCAATACTAATGACGAACCTAGACAATAACCCTACAAACCCATAGTTTATTGGTGGGTTCGCTCTTAGAGAGAGAGACTACCATTCTTCTAGCTTGAAAAGGAAGATACTGCTGCTTAGCAGGAGTTTTTTGGCAACGCTAGACAAAGCTGGTGGGAATATGTAAGAAACTTTATTTTGCAACACATCTACGAGTAGGGATTGTTCAATCCTTTCGAGATATCGGCGTGACATATTCAATACGTTGCACGCACTTCACCCAGATGTTTGAGTAACCGTTAAGCTCATACCGAAACTATTTTGCCGACCTGGTATGAACAAAGACGTGTGAGTGGGTATGTTGCTATGTTAGCAGATAGAAATTTAAGATGATTAGACGTAGTAAATATCTTCTAGGATCATTCGCACCTTCTAACACCCATTTCGTCCATGTTCATCTCGATTTGGTAAGACCCTTCCTGTATTAAGGTATATCTTCTTATCTCTTGACATGTATGAACCATACAGTGGCCATAAACAATAATTATCAATGACATTATTGTTATGACGGTGGCCATTGCCTTTGTTAAGTAGTTGTCAGAAAACTTTGATTACCCATATCTAATACTACAGACCATAGAAGGCGGTTCGAATCCAAACTTTTCCGTCGTCTTACCACAATCTCAGGGGTTACATAGTTCGAAATGATGGCAGACCAATCAGGGGCTAGTGAGTGGAAAGAATGATCTCACTGATAGTTAAAAGCTCACAGCTTGAAACGTATCACGAAAAGGATTAATGCTATTCAACTCGTGTTCCTCGGAATTCTTAGTTCAGTTAACTTTGACTTTTGGTCGAACTTTGAGGAGAATTTTTATATACTTGATGGCCTTCAAACAATGTGGATTTAAACTTTTGAAGGACCAGGCCTGCAGATGCGTTTGGTTAATCATGCTTCTACATGACCTCAGTCAACCGACGATTTCGCCCAACTCAATATTAAGCACACACGTTTGTGCTTCTTGCGGTTAATCTACCCGAAGTCGCATACGAAGAATGTGATAAAGTTCCCCATCGCCAACCAAAGTCTTATGCTGCTGATAAGAAGGGAACCAAAGATGACACACGCAGCTTATTTGGTAGGTCACCGCTTCGTCATCGGTTTTCGGACTCAACAATCTGACGACAAAATTCTTACGACTGAGGTGCAATGTCCGATAGTTAATAACCACGTTCGAACTGCGCTAATATTCGAAAACTGATGTATGACAAAACTGTGGGATTTCCAGAACATTTGAACATTTCCAATAAAAATACGTTAACGTTTATTTATGTGTGACTAGCTTTTTTACAAAAGCACCGGGTAAAAACTTCTCATATATAATTTTTCTCAATATTTTGTGATATGCACACACAGATATATTGTTATTTTCCAGCAAAAATTACTTATTTATTTAAACACAGAAATATTTTGACGTTTCTTTAATTTCTAGGAGGACTGAGAAGAAAAATGGAAAACGGAAGATGAATACAATGAACCGAATTTCCCATCGTATATTCTTCACTATTATGCACCCTCTGATTACTGACAGTTGGAAAAAGTAACTGAGCGATTCAGGACGTAACAAGCTATCAGAAGGAGGGATAGGAATGGCAGGCTCGTTGAGTTTAAACGTATGTTGTGCGCGTCTTATGTTCATCACAACCACACCAAGAGAAAGTGATATGTGGGGATGCATAGATCCCGACAGAAATAGTTCTGTTAGTCTCTGGCATTGATGTTGACTTCACTGGTCTTATAGGACATACCCTACTCGAAGGCGGCCGATCAAGCATCCTCACCAAATCACGAGCCGACCCGTCATTCTAAGCATCTCTCGCAACAACTACTCAGCTTAGATCGAACACTTCTTGACATATCGAATAATTTTCAAATTCACATCCGAAATCCTTCATTCCTGGCTTTTGATTTGGCTGAGTTTTGGATTCATGATCAAAAAGGCGTCACGAACAACAGTGATGTCATGCCCTAAACGTCCTCGATGTATTCAGCCAAGCTGGCAATTGAAAATGAAAACAGATAGCAAGAAGTATTTTATTCTATGTACTTCAACCAAACAACATCCTGTGCATCGAAGATATAACAGCCAATTTCAGTAACCCTGTTCTCTACAGACAAACATATTCGCATAAATTCAAGCTAAACCAACCTCACAAAATGGCTGTTATATTCACTAGGACTGCTGTGATTCACCTACTAACAATATTGAAGCCTATCGAACACTTGAAACTTCGTGTTCACAGTGCGATGCTAGGCAAAAGAAACTTTGTGATTTACATAAGCTCATCATAATTATAATAGATATTGGACCTACATCAGGTGGTACCACATAAAACGTAACTTATTCAAATGCACGTGTAACGGTTTCGGAATCTCGTGCCAGCGAGTTTGAAGGAACTCCTTTACCGTGCCTCACTTCTGATTGTAATTGTTGAATTGTTTTAGTTGCACTGTATTACTGATTGCTATCAATCGGTATCCTAGCTATATGTAAGTGTGCTTCATGTGCCCATTAAGTCACCGTATTGTTTCTATCATTCTCTTATCAATCTTTCATTACCCAACCGGGAATCTTTTTTGAAAAAAAGGTAAAAGAGAAAGTAAAGGAAAACACTAGGAGAGCAATTTGAAGGATCATTAAGGAGTTAGGAGCGAAGTATGGGGAGAACGCGTCTGTCTTCTAAATTACATGGCAGCGCGACAGATTCAGTTAGAAATAACTTAATAGGTTTTCCTAAAAAATACGGATGATGCTACGGATTGAAACGTTTAGCTTACAATGTCTATTTGTTAACATACCTTCTGAATGACGTTTTTTTGCGTGTAGCTGTAGATAGTTTCTACAGCTACGTTATCCGTATTCGCATTCGAGTCGTAAATGAAGCATATAAAGCAATCAGTGCATAGCGGTGCATAAAATTGTACGTGAACAGATGCAAAGGAAGGAAGATTTGGTATTTACTTATAGAAGAAGCAGATAATTCGTTGGCATTTCAAACCTACAATGACAACAATGGGAAATGTTGCACTATTTTCCATACTAGGCAAAAAGGAAACTTTTTAGCGCGTTACTTTTGTTGTTTCCTCTGTTCTTGCTGGTCATTTGAGATAGTTTGGGAAAATCTGGGTGTTTCTTGGTACAGAAAACACGAGTAAGCTTTAGGAATACCCGGGACTTAAAATTTTTACCATGATATCATCATTAAGCATACATTTTTGCTGTGTTTATTTAGTCATCACCTTATAAGTACACTTATTCATCTCTGTTTCAGATTCCCATAGACATTTCCGCGCCTGACAAACCTGTAGACTAGCCTCATACTTACCGAAGGCTGAACGTTACATATATCTTAGATGTTTTATAGTATCGATTTGCTTTCAGCTCATCGAGGGAAGTTCGGGATTATATGGTTTGATATCTTACATCACTGACTTTTTAAAGGCTGGCAGCTACCAGGGTAAGAAAACAACTATCAAGAAAGGAACTAAATTCTGTCAATATTGTTACTGCTTGGTATGTTTAGTCTCATCTTTTATTGCTGCTAGCAATGAAATAACTTCATATATTCTAGGAGAGACACAACTTCGACTCTCATTGTACTTAGCATCCCAGTTGACTTTCGGTATTTGTATCATTTACAGAGAAAAAACTATTGTTATGCTACGTAAGTTAGACATACTGGCTACCTTTTTCTGTGTTTTTTTGTGCTGATTAAATATTCCGATTTGTTTACAAATACTAGGTGACTTGCAAGAGCTAAGCCAGAAAGCTTCTGTAACTACAAGCCGGTCCATTGACCTACCCACTTGGTAAAAACTTTGTTCACGTTTGTTAGTTCGTTTGTCTATTTGCCACAATTTGTTGCTCTACATTTTTAACGAGTTCTTTGTTTTATGTATACAGTACTAAATCTCGTACAAAGCGTAAAACTCGTGTACCGGTTGATGATCCTGAAGTACCTCTGTTAAACTTGTACAACGAAACAAGTGATTTTGGAAATCTTCAGTTGCCTGATTTGTTTTGGCCCAGTATCAATGAACCTTGTCTGGATTTCATGGATACACAAACTCTGTATCAAGCACGAAATGAAGACATAACTTTGGTGGAAGACCCTTCGGTCGAGGTATGTTGTTCATAATCCTCGTCATATTTGTTTTTTTGCCCAAGTTAGAACGTCTTATTTAGATATTTAAGCTTATAGAATGTTTAGAGTTCGAATCCTTGTTTCGAAGTCAATTTTCAGTATTAAGGATAAGAGGTCAAGCAACCTATACTATTCCTTGCAGTTCGTAGTACCATAGAAACCCAGTCTAGCCCTGAATACATCAACAGGTACTGGTATCCCCCAAATGCTTCTTTACGACCGAAAGTGGGGAGTGTCAACTCTCATATAGCCACGCGCCTGCAAACACTGCTAGGGAAGTCCTACTCACTGCATTCTCGCATCGGTGGTGTTTACAAAATTATGAGGACGAAAAGCGAATGGTGGATACGGAGGATCGGCTTCGGGGAGTTAGAAAACCCTGTCTCCAAACCAATAGTGCTTATGGGCCCCAGGATCCTGAGGGAACAAATGGCGTATAAACCCATTGTGGGTCACCGGTTGCCATGGGACCGCATCTCTTAACGTTGCTTCATTACCTTGTTGACTAGACCTTCAGGTCGAAGTTTCGGGGTGTAGCTCCTTATGAAAACCAACTGCTTTGGTCTGGGCGCCTGGGCAGTGTCTCAGCCCTGACAAAATCAAATAATTTGTGTGGTGTTCATATATTTTTGCCCCCTTGTACTAATATATATGTGTTTAGATAAATAAATAGATATTACGTGTTCTTGTAAAGAATTATTGTAGTTCACTACTCAGTGCGAAAACGGAACTTAGGCCGTGAACGGCTTAGTCTTGATCTTCAAATTTTTTAAAACTGTAATCACAGATGATTAGTACTAGGCGATGAAAAATATGAAACATTCATACCAAAATTATCGTTCCGCATACGGTAGGCCAGTATTAAATCACTTCTTAATAATCAGCTAGTTAACGAGTATATCTTAAGGTGTTAGAAAGTAATTAAGTGAAATCTTGAAAAAGAACGAAGTAGATCGCATGATGAATTATAGAACTTGTGAATAAATATAAAAGACATGTTGTTAAAAAATAAACAAATTGGGCGATGAGTATTATTTTATTGTATAAAGTCATATACATGACTATAAAACCATATTGAAAAACTAATTTAAAAGAAATTTCTTTGCTCGATTCATTCTTTTTACTAAATGTCAAAATGGTAATTGTTTAGAATTGGAATTCGATGAGATGGGTTACATAATGATAATAATAGACAAGATTTATAGAGTTTACATAATTAATTGGACGTAAAAAAATCGCTGAGTGAAAAGATGATTTTGGTGTACATGAAATAAAAATTAGTTTACAAAATAAACGCTAATAAAATGATAGAAATAATAACTAAAGGTGATATTGTTCAAAACTGTGCATTTACCAAGATATTGATCAGTTGGTTACTGTCTCTTTATGGATACATAAATCAGGTTTGAGTTTCTTTATTCTTACCTAAGAGACTACGTTTTTGTCCGCCGATAATTTGGAAGGATTGGGGAATGTCAATTGTATGCCCTGTATCGATTAAATGCCAAGCTATCGTTCTATTTAAAGCTGTTGCTACTCTCAGTTTCAAATTCTTTGGAACTTGCTTAGAAATGCGAATATTTACTCTTCTCTCGATCTTTCTAATGTCTTTTCTTTGCCACTTACATGTAAATTGGTAAATGCATATGAAAGTACCGAGAAAAGGTAATCTATCCATGTTTCTTTATTCGAATGAGCAGTTCGTTCCGCGTAACACCGTCAGTCCTGGCGTTAAATAAGCAGTACTCTTTGCGGCATTTGTCCCGTAGTTAATTTTTTCAGTGATTTAATCTCCTTTACAGAGCAGATATAACAAGTAGGTTTTCTTTTCCACTAAAACGTACTCAACATGTACGTTGGTTTTGAAATACCTCTCGATCAATTACACTGTATATGTATTTTCACATAATAAAAAGCAAGTTCTTTCATACTTCCCTTGGAGGACGTTTTATGTGCACCAGCCGAGTCTAGAACACCAATAACAGCCTCCACTATGCGAATCAAATCATTTATTTCAGACATACTGTTTGGTTTATATATCAACCAAACAGACCGCAACGCACCATAAAATAGGAAATAACATTTATACACAAAAAAGCCAAAATGTTACTATGAATGTGGGAGACAGTAGTCAATAAACTGAACATAGCTTAAGAACAGTAAATCGTACAATAATAATATTTAGGTCAAAATGATGCTTATAACATGGGAAATATAGATGTACATAATCTAATTATACCATAAGAATATATAGAAAATATTTGTCCGTTAATAGGTCTCGTAATTTAATCTTCGCTACGATATAATACTGTCCACACAGCCAATCGTTGTTAAAAAACTTACAAAACATTTGCTCAATGGATAATAACCTCAAACAATAGAACTGTATAAACTCTGTCCAATTAAAAGAAAAACCGACAAAAATACACAAGATCCCAGGAGGTGCAAAACTAACCAAAAATAGTGTACTTCAATACGAATTTGAAGAAAATCTCGAACTTTAACCGAAATAATCCTTGTTAAAGTTGACCAAATATACTTTTGATACATAAACACACAAAAGCAAAGTTAATCCACAAGTTTAAAAACACTGGGCTATTGGAACGCGCGCTTGCAAATGTATAATCAAAGACCAGTAGAGTAGTGATTTCACTAAATGTATCAATTTCAGTTTGGCATAAACACAAGGCTTAATGGCTTACGTTAGCCATAGCGGTTTAAATTAACATTTGAATCAATGTCTGGTGCATAATTACCCGAGTCACCATTTTGTCTATTACTCTAAGGAGTTACGGTTCATATTACTGATTTTCTATGTAATGTATATCTCCCTACCTTCCTCGTTTCGATAAATTTTCACTATCCTCATAATTCGTAACAACAAACGAAGACAGAGTACCGGCTATGGAGAGTTTACTCTAATTATTGCTTTACTGACTTGATCCATACCATTTATTACCTAGCAGTAGACATTTATACCATTTAAAGCTGTATCTCTGCTGTGTAGGTCTGACTAGAACAACCTGCAAATCCAACAAACTAATTTATTAGTAACATGTCTCACATTTCAAAATGGTAAATCAGTAAAAAACGAAATTGCCAAAGGAATCTTCGAGAAAACAAAAGATTGGATACATGTTAATATGACAATTGTCTTTTGGCTTATAAAAGTGAATTATGTATGGACATTGATTGATGAGGTAGTTTCGTTACATGTTCTACTCAGGATATTCAAATCTCACACACTTGCTACGTGTTCCTTTTATTAAGGATACCGACCCTATTTAAGCTTATTGGTACCTATGTTGAAACAAGTATTTATGACTACTTCTGCATGTCTCCTGTCTTATTATAGACAACTGGTACTCGTTTTTCATTTGGTGAAGACTTTTTGCCGGAGTTTATCCTTGAATCGATAAATCGTGATCATCATACCATTCAACCAGTAGATTTAATTCCTATTGAGATTCAAAATGGCAAGAGACACATTTCTAAACATTTAGTACATGAGAGTGAAGCTGAAGTTACAGAATATTCTGCAGTAGAAAGATCATGTTATTCAGATAAACCTCAGAGGTTTGTTTTTCTTGGTTCATTTGTCTTATTTTTCTTTCTTGTCAAATTGACAGTCTAATGTTGTTGAGTTTAATCAAATTCAATTCAAGTGACAAGAATCCTAGCATAACATTACCTGTGTATATAACGTGCATGTTTAGTACGTTGATTATCCATCGATTGATTCACGTTTATAAAACGAACCGCATTCTCTACTTACCTATGTTGCATTATGGTTGACATATTATAGAAAAGCATAAATTTTATCTGTAGTACATTTTGTTTTCTCTTACCTGAGTTAGCGAATTAGTGGCTTCATAAACGATTATTTTCCCATAATCCTCTCCTTTCTGCCTAACAGTCAGTCAGCTTAAACGTAAAACCAGGCACGTATATGTATTGGCCCGAATTGCAATGACTCATTAGCACAACAACATGAACACCGAATTCATAGAAGTGGTCACTTCAATGGTATTAATGTATAAAAGAAAGATTGTGTATAAGGATATAGTACAGAAAGAAAGAATTAGTTCGTAGAAAGAGAGATGTAAAGTAATTTCAATCTCATAGTTTGAGGGAAGACAAGGAATGTATGCACCTATACCATTGTGATCGACTCTGAGCCATGTCATCCAGAGTTTCCGACCATTGGTTCGATAGTCGAGAGGATCCCAACCAAGTAGACTACATCTGCCAGCATGACTTCTAGGACTGATGTCACGTTTCGGTTTGGATGTCCCTAACTTTCTTCCATCCATCTTCAGCACTTGTCAGCATTGTGCGTCGTGGTAATCGGTGTTAGGGCATGCGTAACACGTGGTCCAACCATCTCAGTCGATGAGGATCCACAACCTCATCAACTGATTTATCACCATTCTCTAGTACAATGTACTTAGCCTCACCATTACTTACCTGGTGATCCCAGCAGATGCGAACAGTGTTACTAAGATGTCTGTCATCAAACACTGATAACTTACAAGTATCTTCTGCATAATGACCCAAACATTATCTGATTTTAATTTGTAAAGTTTTTAGCTATGTTTAGAGATGACGCCTCAAACTTTTAAAATTTAGTTAACATCCAACATTCGCTACTGTTTTTTCCATTTATCTACAGCCTGACATTGTAAAATAATTACGACAAATTAATCTTGGCTCCCAACTGCCGAGAGTGGAACGAGTCTGCTATTCCTCTCATATGACCACGAGTATATAGCCACTTCCAAGTAAATCCTACTCATCCCCTTCTCTTAGCGATTGTGTTGTTTACGAATTTGAGAGGACGAAAAGCAAATATCCTGCGCCTAAACGTGGTTGGTGGGCACAAAGGATCCATCTAGGGGAGTTCGGAGGATTTGAATCCGAACTAATGGCGCAGATGAGCTCAATGACCCTCGGAGAAAAAATGGGACACCGACCTATTATTGGGCATCAACTACCGTGAAACTGCATTTTCTAACGTTTCTCCACTGTCTTGTGGATTAGATCTCTTGATCATTGACTCGAGAAGAGTCTTCTAGGACAACCACCTGCTTCGTTTTGGGCAACCAGGCAGTATCATACCCCTCACACTTATTATGGCCCTTATATATTTTGGTGCCCCTTTGTACCAATGTTTATGTTTTTAAATAAGTAATTAAATAAAACATTCTTTTGATTCAAACGCTGTATTAGTCCAGAATAGCACCGGTATAATGACGAGTATTATTAGGCAAATGTATTACTTAAATACCACATTTAAATAGAACTGCTCGAGACATTATAGTATCCTCCTCAATATATATAAGAATTGAGTTGTGAAATGTTGATCTGTCCATAAAATTTGTTCTTATTTGACCATTCGGATAGAATGCGAAGTGACAATTAATTTGTAAACACTGTCTCGATTTTACGACACAACGAAAATGATTCACCTGGGAATTTCGTTTTTTATGTAGTGTACTACTAATACGTTTGAATCGTGTCATTTACTTTCTAAAACATTTCTTTCAAGGCCGATAACAACAATACAAGAAAGTAATGTCATATTCGACTCCGTATTAAATCAATTTGTCCCCGTACACACAGAGATAGTGAACTCGTAAGTTTCGATTGAAAATTTTTACTTAATTATACTTATTACATTTGAATGTATTCGATAAAGTGTGTATAAATCTAAACTTTTGCACTGAACTTAACAAAACTAATCAACTGTGTCCGTACAAGCGTAAACACGTGAAATAGATTTGAAGATATAATTTGTTAACTGAAAATCTATTATGCGAACCACTGTGTCCCGACAGTTGTAATTTTTCCACTTAGTTCTATCTAGTCAGTATTTCTGTAAAGATTACTGCTATCTCAGTAGCCATCGTCATCAGCTTTGATTAGTTTAAGGTGAAGTGTGTGTTTCCATTGTGAATTATCAAGGTTTTTTGTCTTCATAAAGTATATCGTACTGACATTTTGAATCAATTGCCTGAATTTTTTGCACTAATATTGATAAACTGTAGTTATATATAAAGCCTATCTTAATGCGATTTATAGACTTGTGATGTAACTTACTATTGTTTTCAACTCTATGATGATCCGAAGTGCATGTGTAGTGTTGAGAAACAATAATTGATATGCAGTACTACTGCATTGGGTTTATTGTATCTCAGCTTCTATGACACATCGTAAATTATCTGAGAGATTATCATTTCACTTTTTTTATTATGTTGTAATTCGCTACCTTTTTAACAATCGCTTTTTTTCAAGTTCAAAGGATTTGACTAATGCGAAAACGCTTGCTCAAGGAAGCGCTAATGAATGCATAGTTTCACAGTCTTCTGACGTACCTATGGACTCAGTCAATGCGTAAGTTTCTTTCTTACGAAATTCTTGCATCTGTTTGAATTTTAGTATGATGAAACTATTCTACGGACCAGCTTGTTTAATGATTGGGGATGTTGGTGTGTGAAATAGCACCAGTGTGCTTGAAATTCCCTAAGAAGTAGATTTTTAGACGTGAGTCGGCTACGTCTCACATTCACTCTATCTTCAAAGTGGGACAGAATTTTTGTTCTTTTACGATGAAGTGTGATTGGTTACTGAGCAAAGACATTTGCCTTACCCTAATTAAAAAAATATGTAGACTATCGTTATATTTGGAAGTTTAATTAACTCATGATTCTCGATTGGGCTGTTGGATGTTGTTTTATTTAAATCTTTGGTTGTGATCTAATTTGGTAGTTTAATTCTATAGTGTATTCTGTGTATAATCAAAACGTTGGACTAAATAATGCTTAGGTTCGAGGTAGTTTACTAGGTTTGATCATTTCATTTTGAATACATGAGACCTGATACATTGTGGCACCGAAAAAGAAAATGGGGAAACAAAGAACAATCGAAAAGAAAAGCTCTATGGTCATAGCAACTATGTGAGCCTACTGTAGTTCTTCTTTCTTTCTTTATATTAAAGTATTCCACTTGAATTTGCCTATGTATTCATTTATGTTTCTACATTTCCAGAATTTCAACTAATGTGGATAGTTCACTAGTGGTAAGTTACGAATCAAATAATAATTCTAGTTATTTTTACCTACTGATCATTTGATTTACATGTACAACGATGTGTGTGCCAGTTTATACAGCGGAATGTTTTTCTAAAGTTCATGTAACAAGCTACATCCCTTAGAGTAGCTGCTACCTTGACGTGGTAGTCGGGTTTGCCTATCGTAATAACTCAATCAAGCTATACTGGCTTGGACACACGTTCCTTAATGTTCTACCATTTCAGATAGATCGATTGGAAAAAATTTTGAACTCAAAGCACTAACTTATGGTACGAGGGTGAATTTGTACTTCTGACTGTAGAGGAATGTGACAGTAGTGAAATGTTTCCCTTGGACAACTAGCATCTTCAGTGGTCTTGCCTTCTCACAATGGAAGTAAACAGTTAGAAAAAGTCGACCCTAAAAAAACATCCAAACTTACCTCACCACACTGGTTTTCTTCTTAGGCATTAATACTTTTGAAAGTGTGGAGCTAACGCATCAAAAGCTTCCCATACCTATGCCCTACCACCTCTTATCTCAACGATCAATTTTGTCTGATGTATGAGTAGACTATGTAAAGAACAGATTTTCATTTTGTCTAAATAACTGACGAATAGTATTCCTCACACATTTACAATCATCGTTCTTATATATTAAACGGGCTTCTATGTGTTTTCAATATCTTTATGGATATATCATGATGTTTTCATGTTATATCTTTGTTTTGGATACAACAATGTTCAACCACGGAATAGGCCACATTGATTTATTTTCTAATTGGGAATTATAAACTACGTTATCATGCATATTATTTAGTTAATATTTAGATTATTTTATATCCATATTTCAGTTTGCAAATTCTATTTAACAAGGGCAGTTATGGTACTATTGTAGTGAACAAGAACACAAGTGGGGCATTAGAACATGAAATTACAGAACATCTCACTAAAATCTGAGAACCATATGGTAAATAGTTAATTTGCAAAATGTCAATCAATTGTCTCGAACTTGACTGTTCTTTTTGCAAATATCAGTCCATCGTTTCAGGTTTCATTGTTCATGCATTTTCATACCAATTGATTTCGGTTCCCGTTCTTTCTTTCTCAATCTTCTACTGAAATACATTCTATGCCTGACCATCGTTATATACTACTTATGTGAATATAAGTAGCTCACACCACAGTATCTGTTTTCTATTTCAGCCTTCTGCACAGTTCAGCACTGAAATAATCAATAATTCTACTCATTTGGAAAACATCAAACAATCGAATATTGTATTAGAACAAGTTGAATTGACTAAAGATTTTTTAACAGAAACAGAAATGACTCAGATATTACCTCAGGAAGAAGAAGAAAGGTTAGTTACTCATTTTATAATTTATCTTTTTTTTCAAGTCACATAAATCTACTATAAAAAACACAACAAAAAGAAATGTATAAAGAAAACTTAAAACACCTTTATAAGTAGAGATGGATGATCGTTATCAAATGGGATCCAGGATATGCGTTTCATCCTATTTTGAATTACGCCAGATTGATTTATCTACACTCCAGAGTTGATGTTTATTCCGATGTTTCAATCCCATTATCGTTCGCTTCAAATAACCAATTCAAAAATTAAAATAGTTCTTCCTTCTACTAAATCTGAATAATGATATAAAAATATGAAGGTTATCATTTATTCATTTCTCTAATAATCCTTAAAGATTTGTTACTTTAATGCACCGACTTAGTTTAGTTCACATTTAAAAATGAATCCTTTCAACAGATTGATAGAGGTTTATGTGAATGTGTCATTATTAGCTGATGTGTTTATGACACATATTGAAAATTTCGCTAAAGATCCATTCGAAAATACATACCTTTATGAGCGAATACGTATATGACATCATAGTTATCGGTAACAAAACAGGATGCAAATTTTTTTTCATACAAAGAGAAGGATAACCCGCTTCTTTTCTTAAATATACTTATATGTAAAAGAGATGGTTTAGTCAAACGATACATTTTTAAAGTGCTCTCTTAGTTTTTATGGTTATTGCCTAGTTCAGTCATGACAATGATGTTATCATCGTTGCAGAAAATGTAAATTCATGGATCACAAAAATCGATTTTGTCAAAAGAGGAAGCTAAATCACTCCAGAAATACCAAAAAACCTATGTTCCAGATCATGCATAAATTTGTTGAGCCTAACAGCGTACTTCAGGAATTAAATTGTACTCTGAAAAATTTTGATTGACCACATTTTGTTATCGTAAATAATGAGACTGAAAGCCTTTCATTACAATCATAGGAGTTATTGTGATTACGACACTTTGTCATAAAATTGGTTGATTTTAAAGTGTTCATCGATGGAAGAACAGCTGAGAATCAACGTCTTTTTATCCTGTTTTCAAAATGGTTACCACTATAAACCAACTCATTTGTTTGCACTGAAACGATATAATGTGTTGAGACCTATTTAAACCATGATGTCTAATTATGTATATCAACTTATTTTGGACGTAACAAGACTTTTATTCGTTTTTTCCACTTTTTTTTAATTGCTCAATTGATTTTTTTAAACTACATATTCACATTACGTAAAATATATTAGTAGTGAAGATTTATACTCATATATCTATGATTTTGGTATTTCTTCTGTGACTAGAACCTTTACTAGTGCTTCTGAACAGAACTTATGTCCAATTTCGTTATCTCGATTAAATCCATTACATCCTGTCGAATCTGAGGAGAATACGCATCGTCGTCGTATAAAAAAGCATTCTAATAAGCTCATCATTGATGAAATCACCCGACTAACAGCATCAGAATTACGCTGGAACATGTTACATGGCGAGGAGACTATGGTTACACGAGACATTTATCTGGCTGAATCAACTCCACGCAGTCAAACACGATATCTGTTGTCTCGGAGTGTTTCACGATTATTTTCTGTCCCCAGTAATCTGGAAACTGCTCTTAGTTTAAGACTTTGTGAAGTACGTCATTTGTTTGCATCTATACTTCTTACTTGTAACAAAGAGAATTTTCCTATCTGACATATTTTCATTCCAGTAAAAACGGCGTTTTTAATAAAAACGAAGTTGATGTTGACTTTGAGCAGACGTTTTATGGATTATAGATGTAACTGAATTAAGAGAAGTAATTACCAGCCTAACTCAAATCAAAATATTCAATGTTTTCATATGCTCTATCAGTTTCGTTTAGTTTTCCCGAATAATCGGATCAATTAACTATTAATTCAACAATATATTATGTTTAGTCCGTTGTTGAAATTAATTTGACAGTCTTCAGATGATACGTTTTATTGTTCTGACCATCTCAGTTTCAAATTTAAATTTATCAATCAGTTCTCGCCTTTCCTCTGATCACTAGGCATAGCATTCGTCATCAAATCTTTATTTTCATTCCGGTAAATATTTAAGTTTGTATATTTAGACAGTTCGTCTTTCATCGTCTTATTGATGTATATTACCGTCAGATGCTGTGTTAATTCATAAAATATATCCGTACATCTTTTTTACACAACGAGTTAAAATAGTCATTTATGTAGGAGATTAGTTCCCTGCAACTTTTTTTCCAGTTGAATGAGTTGATTAAAAACTCTAAGTTAACCAAAACTACTAGAGTTTGATATTCAACACCCCGAACACTTTTGAAGTTAGTTCCTCTGAGTAAAACTGAATAAAAAAACAACTATTACAATGAAAACATGTTAGATCAGTTCAATGTTGTCGTGGTGCTTTATTTTCTACTCTTATACTTTTGTGAGAAAAAAGTAATGTGTAAACTGTTGTATTGGATGTAGTGTAGTTGTATACACTCTCTATCATCTGCCCTTAAACTATGAGATTAAAATCGTTTCATATCTTTCTTTCTATACTATATCCTTACATAAAATCTTTTTATATATTACACCATTGAGTTAAGTGATTCTATGAGTCCGATGTTCGTCTTGCTGTGCCAATGTGGTGTGGCAACTTGGACCGATTCATACATATGCCTGATCCTACTCTGTAACTGACTGATTGGATGTAGCATTCACAGCAACTAACCAAGTGTTTTCTTATCCGTACAAATAGTGGTAAGCCAATTTAAAGCACAGTTTATCAGTTCATATAACATTGACATTAGAATGGATCACATCAATAGTTTATTTTTAAGATCAATATGTGTATTTTTTTCCCCTAGCTTTGGTGTTATCATCGGCGTTTATGTGAAAAAGCTTTACAAAAAAGGAAATTAGATGATTTGTCAATAAATAATGATATAATCCAAACTAAACGTCCTACTAAACCATTATCAATAAAAATGAATGCTATTACAGAAGAAAATGAATCTTCAGTAGAAATTCAAAGAATTGCTGGAGATCATTCTTCTCTAATTGGATCTGAATCTATTTTTGGAACTAGTAATATAATTGATGTAACCAATAATCAGGTGAGATAAAACAAAATTATTCATACCATTTTTGTTATATGATTTGCATCATTTAAACTCATCTTGTTTGGATAACATAACACCTTTCTTTAATATCGGTCCATGAGGACTGATCTCATCGATAATCCGTTTGTATTTGAACGGATTCATTTCACAAATAAAAATTGTTTAAGCTAATTAATTTCTATAAAAAAAGTAATGGTAATGACATTGTGAGGTTGTTTTTTCTGTGACACTTATATCTATGTCATTTTGCCCCGAATGGATTAAAATCTAATTTACCAAAATCATCCGGTGTTGACTATCTTCAAGTGAGACGAGCATTAGGGCTGAAGTATTTGTATAGGCTGATTCGTGTCAAATAATAATACCAAGAACTAATTTAATATGTAATAACTTTTGTTCCACAGTGATCACATTCCGTTGTTTCGATTTATTGGTTTGCCCACGTAGCATTTTTTGATGTAATCTGTCCGATAAATTGCTTTATTGACACTACACAATTTAGAATACACCAGTCTTATGAGCATTGGTAGATAGTGGCTAGCAGTGGAATCCAGGACGCGCGTTTCGTCCTATTTGAGACTCGTCAGATTGATGTACCTGCATCTCAGAGTTGATGTTCACTTTTTGGGACTCAAACCTTTTACCGTTCGCTTCGAGCACCATCGCGTTATCCATTTAACTACTGCAGTCTGTCTTTGCCTATAATGTTTGTGAATTAAGGCAATACACACAGTATGCACATATGCCAATAAGAAACTGATCAATTTCAGTCCTAAACATCAATGGAAGATTCAGGTAAACAATACCATTTTAATTTACACCAGTCTTATCTTGAAAATATTGTCCTTCCGTACTAATACCTTTCTCATTTGTGTTAACATTGTTTGAAAGACCACTGAAAGGTCTTTGAAGTTAGGCTATTTAGCTATATGTTTTCTTAAATTTGTATGCATAAAAGATTATCCTGAATTCACTTCACAAAGCAGACTTCAATCGTTCGACTTTTTCATTAACTCGAGAGTTAGACTGCGTTTCTGGTTTTATCATCTTGATCCATTTGAAGTTTTACATTTAGCTGATTAATTATTTTACACCGAAGTTATGAATGGGTCTTTACTTCTTTATTCTTTTAGATCCCTATTTCACAAGTTCATTAATTTCATAGACACTCAAATGATTCTATGAAAACTGATACCTCTTCATATATATAAATATACACGAACTTTTCTTGTCTGTTAAAGTTTATTACTCAATCATCTTAATAGGGATGATATGACCACTTTCTATATCTGACCTTTAGTGATTCACTCCAATTTCACCGCTATGTATTGGGTATCATAGAAGGTTATTCTGTTATGATTGTAATTCTTTTTAAATATCAATTCTTTTCACTTATATTACGTTAGACGATCAGTGTGCGTGAATCATTAGTGCAAATGAAAGAATCTTTTGGGGGTGCTAGTGATCAACCTATCCCAGATATCATAACAAATGTACGTGATAATACTGCTTCTGAAATAACTCGTCAAGCCCTAGATCTCCCTATTCCAGGGACTTCAATATCTTTGCCTACTGAGTGTACAACATTAGTTCCTGTAATTGAAGAACCTGAAGAAAATCTGCAACAACAAAATGAGTTGGGTTAGTTTATGTTTTTATTAATATTTTCACTCATTAAATCAAGTTTTATCTCCACTGGACGATGTGACTAGACCACATCGCCAAAGAAGTTTAGCTATAAACTGTCGCTCGTCTTGAGTTACAGACGTATACTAATGATGTTCTAAGCCGGTCACACCTTTGGCTGTTTCTTACTTGAAGCAGGAAATCCACTGCAATAAAATTATTTGTGATACAAAGTATATTTTAGGAACAGCTACAGAGATAATCAAAGATGAAAGTGGTATGCATCACAATATAAGTAGACGTGATATGTTTTTGACCATAAGGCATCGTTCCGCTTTTTCAACCAACATATTTCGTGCTATTGTTTCATCGAAAAACGTACCCGAACGTTCGTAGACCTTTTAAAAACTCTGCCGAATTACGAGTTTGAGCTTACAGTCAGATATAATGACATCAAGCAGAGATAGCCCTCTCGTCACCTTACTTTTTTCAGGAATCGCTTAATTACTGAGATATTATATTGATTCATCTTCTCATAGTGACAATTCTGTCTGATAGAAAAGCCGCTAAAATGCAGCCCTCTGATCACCTTTAGCAACAATGCAAACTTCTTCGGGATTTATATCTCTCTCTAAGTGTGAATTGTCGCTTTGGAACTGTTCTACGTGAATGCTTGTGCTTAAGTTGTTGAAAGTGTCGACTACTTCACTTATTTTGAAGCCTAGTTAACACTGGTGTATTGTTGTTTGACAAGGTCCCGATATGGTTTGAAAAAACTAGACTAGTTTTCAAGAATCTTCATTATTTGTAGTGTAGTTGAAATGTCGCTCTGTCGATCACGGAATGCTTATTCATTCTTCTCGAATCATATCGTTTGAGCCTAATGTTTCCCACTACTTTGATGCTGTTACGATTTTCAGTATATCATTTATGTTGATAATTCGAGCTTGCTATATTGATATATCATAACAAGTTGAATCAACGTACATAGGTGATAGGTTCTGCGCTTCTGACTGAATATTATGTAGTTCATCGTTATGTATAAAAGTGTTCTAGAACGTCCATAACTGATGAATTTCAAAGCGAAAAACATGACTGCTTATACAATCTTTCCCCCAAATGAGTAAATGAATATTGTTCTATCTTTAAAACACTTTTTTCTGTAGGTTTATTTTCAGAACATATATAGTAGTTACTTTTTATTATCATTTATGTGTTGTATATATTTTACCTTTGATTGTTTGTAGATTCTACGTCTGTTGTTCCCAATTTAGTTGAAGCACTACCTGATCAATCTCAACTGCCTACTGAAGTTTCCTCTTTATCGGGAAAACATTTTCATGATAAATCACAATTATGGAGGTAATTGTAATTGTTCACTCGTTTCTTTTCTTTTTATATTTCTCCCGAAGGATTTGTAAATAATATTAAAATTATAAGGACTACCCTACCCAGAAGTTAATATCACAAATAATTAAGTTAATTGTAATCTGAGAACATTTCACCAGTTACAGTTGTGGAATAATGATGCATCCAGGCGGTTTAAGATCTATTATTTTATTATTATTTATTTTATTTTAACACATAAACATTGGTACAAGGAGGCACCAAATAGATATGCGCCACATAAATCATTCAATTTGTGTGAGGGATGGGATACTACCCAGGTGCTCAGACCGAAGCAGGTGGTTTTCTTAGGGGGCCACACCCCGAGCCTTCGACCTAAAGGTCTGACCCACAAGGCAGTGGAGCATCGTGAGGAGATGCAGTCCCATGGTAGCCGGTGACCAACGATTGGTTCATACGCCATTTGTTCCCGCAGGATACTGGAGTCCATGTGCACCATTGGTTTGGAATCCGGTTAAAGTGCCGCACATTCGCTTTTCGTCCTCTCATTTTCGTAAACAACACCCTCGCCACGAGAAGGCAGTGAGTAGGACTTCCCTGCCAGAGGCTGTATACGCGTGGCCGTGTGAGAGCATTTCGAGAGGGAGGGCGAAACTACCCCACTCTCGGCCATACCAGAGCATTTGGGGGCATTCACAGTTATATAATATACCCCTGTGGGTCAAGGTAATTTTACATTGGTTTTCAGGAGAACCAGACACCGTATATGCTTTAACGCTACAATCTGAATAGTACAGCTCAATCCTGTGGCGCAACCACACAGAAAATTGAGTCAACTGATAGCATATATCTTTTTCCTCGGAAAATTAAATTAAATCTTGACCAATTGTATTCACTACTCATCAACTCTCATTTATTATTTAGGCCTGAACTGATGTTTAATTGGTTCAACCTATAAGTTTTGTTTTTAGTGTTTTTTTGTTAGTGTTAAGTTTCCGAATTCCACTAAAATGTTCATGGGTTGGTACATAGAAATCAACTTTCTCTGTTGTTGATATGTCCATTACAGTGTAACCCTTGATTCAAACTTTACTACAATTTAATCGTGATTTGTATGATTGTTTTGTATCCATCTACGTATTGAAGATATATTTAGTATTTTTCCCTACATGGATATAATAACACTTTGATTCTTCAATTTAGATATCTCTATAGTCAACTAATAGAGTCAAATTCTTATTCGATCGACATTGAAAACCTTTGTCCATTGGGTTGCAGTAAAAAACAAGCAGCATTTGTATTCATGACGCTTTTAGGTATGAAATTATTCATTTTAACTGTTCTTTCTCTTTATTTGAGTTTTTTTATTTCTGTCACTAATGGTAAAACTCAGTTCACAATCCTCTTCAACTAGTATGTCGATTTATGAAACTTTGTAGACACGGAATACCAAAGAACCACTGCTTTGCACATCTATTGAATTCACAGTTCTCAATTGATTCATAGCAATCAGTTCTACAATAATTTGACTGAACCTTTCACTCTAACGTGATGTATACAAAAATCTTTGCCAAGATAAAACATTTATAATTATTCTTAGTTTAGTGGGGTAAAGGTATCATATACTGATGGCATTGAGTTAACCATACAGAAGTGCAATAGTAGATAACTATGATGTTACCACAAGCAAAATAAATATTGGCAATGTTTGAAATTGAAAACAATATCTATTATGCAACCACAAAGTGAATTTTAGATTATGCGCATGATAAATTTCAAAACACTCTTAAGTCAGAATGTTTGGTTAAGTACCTGATGTAATTCAGTATGTAGTCAATAGTGCTTCGTGAGGCTAGATAGTATTTTATCGCTCAATTCCTTAATTTTTAACTCGACTCTCAACTTTTATAAGTTTGTAAACAGACGGATGATAAATAATTGCATTATAGTTGGTGCCATCTCTTGACGAAAACTTCAACCCTGACTTGTACACGCACTTTAGAACTCCAGCGTAACTCTAACCTTTTTGTGTTATCTCGAGTGTTATCTGTTGACAAGATCTATTTGGGGTAATAGTCTTAGCTCACAACCCTAACCCGACCCCTAGTCTGCAAACCTTAACCTTTTTCGTTTACTAAAATGAATAATTCTTCATAGGAAGGTTGATTATTAAGATCAGAGCTATTATTGCTTATTGCTGTTAATTCTTTTATAATTCGTTAGCGTCTCCTGATTACCTGATAGTTCGCCCAAGGTTGCCAGCACATTATACTTTCATCTTTAATACTTTGAAATTTCATGGTGAATTTTAACTTCACATAGTACATTTTCCCATTTGACTATTCAGGAGTTAGTTGGTAATATAGCTTTCATTTAAAGTTGATGTCAGAAACTTGAGTGAACATTGTACTGATTGAATTTGTTGAATATGAATAAACCGGTGATACCTTATATACTAATCATATTTCATCACATCCAATAGAAATTTAAAGCTCTTATTATTCCTTTTAACTCATCTCTCTTTATTTCACGTCCTTATTTATAATCCAAATGGTTCAACATTAACCTCTAGATGATTATTTTTGTGAGAATTAGGTCAATTTATAGTTTATTTTCATCAAGAACTGACATCGAATTGAGTACCATTGAAAAGCAAAGAACAATAAACAGCTAACCGGTCCTAGTATGAAGGTTAGCAGTACGTACCACTGTCATACTGAGAATCAAGCCGGTGACCATGTTTCGTTGTCACTGCGTCGCTTTTAGGTCAATAAGTTGAGATCCAGTGGATCGAATCTCCGACTACAATGTTTTCCAGATAAATTGTAACTATTATTCAACCCAATCGGTTATGATTGTCCTTCTTAACATAATTGGACTTCACTTGTCACAACTCACAAACCCTTTAAGAATTCATCCTGAAGTTGGTCCTTTGTCAAATTTTAACTGGAGATTTTGTAGGGATTTGGTTTTAAATGTAATACGTCCACTAATAGATCGAAAAGTCCTGAGTTCGACCCGTCTCAAGTTCGTGTCTGCTTTAGACTAAATCAGTTAGCTCATACTACCTAGTTTTATGTGGTACTGTAGATAATCAACAAGGTTCTGTATATTTAGACTTACTGGACCTCCATTTAACTAGTTAATGAGATAAAGTTTCACTAATAAGTGTAACTCTTAAATTCATTGACTGTTGAATTAAATAATATAGTCAAATACAACATATCAGACAGAAGTCCTCACAACTCGCATAATCAATAGTTGAACACGTTGACTGATATCATTCAAAATCAATGGGTAGTATGAGACCCTTCAGTTGTCATCTGTTCAATGCTTTCAAGTTTTCGATGATTACCAATCTAAGTTTGGTTCATGATTTCAAGAATTTCCAATAATCTTCGTCTTGGTAACTTTTGTTTATGTTTACATTTAACTGATTTGTTAAGTTTCTTTTGTTATTTTAGAGTTTGCCAAAAATCGCCAAATTATTTTATCACAATGCGTAGCTTTTGGACAAATTCTCATAACAATAATACACTAAGTATTATGAGTTTTAAATCCATTATTCATTGTTTGTTATACCGTTTGTTCATGGAATATTATTATCATTTTATATACAACCTTTTCTTATTATAGTACTTTATCAGTTTTGATGAATCAATTTTTCATAATGGATGATCCTATCATCATTATTTTACACGCAAATCCTGTGGACAACAATTCATGTCTAGGGGGCATCGAATACATATGCACCACACAAGTCACTTGATTTATGTGTGGGCTGTGATACTGCCCAGATGCCCAAACTGAAGCAGGTGTTTTTCTTAGGGGGTCACTCCCGGAGCCTCCGACGTTCTCACGGTATCCGGTGACCAACGATTGGTCCATACGCCATTTCGTCCCTCAGGATCCTAGAGCTCATGTGAATCATTTGTTTGGTATCAAGGTTTTCCAACCCACCTAAGTGGATCCATCATATTCACCAACCTGCTTAAATCGCGAGACATTCGCTCTTCATCCTCTTAATTTCGTAAACAACACCGCCATCGCGAGGATGTAGTGAGTAGGAATTCCCTGACAGTAGCTGTATACGCGTGGCCATGTGAGAGGATTTCGAAAAGGAGAGCGAACTCTCCCCACTCTCTGCTGAACCAGAGCATCTAGGGGCTCTTGGCTCATTATTCAAATTCAATAGATAAGTGTGCTAATATCAACCTAGAGCCTACAGTCTTACATACGTGACTGAAGATGAGTCCTTGATTCATCTTATTACATAATATCACTCATATAAACAAATATTTGTGACATTTAAAAGTTCAATATAAAGTATGTATAAGCTAATGTGAAGTAGTTGATATAGTTTGTCTTTTTCATATTAGAATCGATTATATCAAGTACAGTTAATGACTGCTTTGATGTAATTTAATACAAATGACTGACTACAAAAGGCATTTTACTCTATAAACATTAGTTATATCCATGACAAACCAATCAAATTGTTGCTTAAATACCCACCACGTCAATCTAGTCTGATGTCTGCGTCGACTAATCCTTGTTGCTTGTGTCCTACCAGTTGAAGGACATAATTATCTTATTATATTAGTGTGACTCAAATTTTTTTATCATTTCGATAAGACACGTAATACGGATCGGTATGTTTTGTACGTCCTACTTAGTTGTTTTTACATTTAGAAATAGATATAAAGTTTAAAGCCAAGTTGTCCGAGATCGTCAGTATCGCGTTTATTGTTCTAATAGAATATCTGTAGAACAAATTAATTCCTACGCTATACAAATGAATGTAATTTGATCTAATTGAATAAGCATTGGTTTATTAGCTCTGTGTTCATACCAACTATTGAAAGTTTCCTCATTACAAATATGAAACAGCTAATAAAGCCTTCTCATAAAAAACTTCATGCAATTAGTTGCTTACAACCAAATATGTATTAGAATTTTACATTGAGATAACAAACATATATGTATATATAAGTGCAAGAACAGGTCAGAGGTTATTAGGTGTTAGAATCAAGGAAACATTAAGGATGGATAGTGTAATAGTCGAGTGAAGTTGAGAAGTAATGAAGGATTCATGGGATTAAAAAACTGATAAGGTGGGTTACGTAATCATTGAATAGAATTTCAAGAGTTCACATAATTTAAGAGAGCCAAGTGAATGGACATTTATGAGTGATGTGGTGGTTTAAGAATTCGATAATGGGAGAGGAATATAACATAAACTAAATATTATCTAACAAAATAAAACTAATAACCAAACACACAAAAAAGGATTACCAAAGTAGTAATAAGTTTATTACTGTCTCTTTCTGAATACATAGATCCGGCTTAAGTTTTTTATATCGCGATCGCTTCAGCAAAACGGAGAGCAGCCATACTTCTTTGTTTGTTAATCATTTTAAAAGCATGAGAGATGTCAACGGTATGCCCGGTGTCAAGTAAATGCCGAGCTATTGCACTGTTGAGAGCCTTAGTCCCTCTCAGCCTCAATTTCTTTGAAACATGCTCAGAAATGCGAACATATATTCTCTCAGTTCTTCCAATGTATGTGCTTTGGCCCGTACATGTGAATTGGTAAATGCAGTTGTAGCTACTGTGGAAAGAGGACTTGTCGATTTTAGGTTGTTTGAGTGAGCAGTTCGTTTCTCATACCATCGTCAGTTTTGCTGCTGGGTAGGTCACTTTCAACGCGGAACTTATTCTATGATTAATTATTCCAGTAATTTCATCTTTAAAGCGTAAGTATAAGAAGCAAGTTTTCTTTTCCACTCTGTCATACTTGACCCGTGGGTTGGTATTTGCATATTAATGGATGAATTTCACCGGATATGTATTTTGACGTAGACACTTAGTGATGAGAGCAATTTCTTCTTTCAAGCATTCCTTTGAGCAAATTTTACGTGCGCCGTCAAAAAGGGTTAGTACAATACCCTTTTTGTGACTCATCTGACTTGTTCTTATATATATAGTTATCATTGATAACATTTGTCATTCCAATCCTTTACATCCACTTATGTCAATTATTCCATACTATTTCTTATCTTATTGGCTGTAAGCAACTGACGAGAAACCTCGAAATATAATGAATTCATATTATTCTGCATCAATATTTGTTCTGGTTTTATTTAAATTCATAAAAAATTGCTTTAGCCAGTTATGAATAAATAGCAATACCACTTAGAACAAATAAGTAGTTCAAGTTATACGTCTCCTAGAATTAAGACACATTCCCATAGTATTATGTTGTTATATAAAGCTACTAATTATATCGTACTTTTACGGTAGACTTGGATGTGACGTTTTTACGATACAACATGGATAGTTTAAGTGAATATATAGATGCCAAATGTTATGAAGTATTATAAACATAAAACATTCAGTGATATAATTAGACCAGTGCAGATGATTATCTAAATTCAGATAAATCAAAAGTTCCGAAATATCCACAGCCAGTTTTGACGAATAGTTTAAACCCAATGAGAACAGAATCAGGCACGCAATATTACAACAATTTTTGAATGTGCATGGTGTTTTCAGTTTAGTCAGTCGATTCATCAATAATAAATCTAAAAAAATTCATAGGAATATGTGGTATTTGCATGAACGACCATTTGGATATCCGGCACATTGCCCCTACGGAAATTAGACAAAGTGGTCGAAAGAGAAGATATAAGATGATAACTCGTGGTTTAAATCGAGTAAAATAGTTATCGGCGGGCGATTAGATTGAAATAACTAGTCAATCCCTTTGGCGAGCCTGTACAGATGGATTGGTTTATTTGAGGTGATTTTTCATTGTTTCTATACGATTCTAGGTATTTCGTAATACACAATGGTCGGCAGTCTAGCCACTCGACAGTACTAATTCAAGCCAAATCAGTAGTTATTTATGAGTGTGTATCATGTGATCCGAGTGAGCTCACTCGTCTCAGGCCAGTAGGGATTTTGGTACCAGAACGTACTACATTTGCAATATGAAAATAAAAAAAGATCATCCACACACAAATGAAGACGGTTGTTTCAAGAAGCAAATAAGTTAACCATTTGGTAAACTGATGACTTTCTGAAAATGGCCTATGTTACCTATTAAGTATCAGTGTGATTACGAATGAGAAACAAGGTCCGGTATCTATTTGACAGACTTTAAAATAAAGTAAAACCTTTGAGATTCTGCTTGTTCAAATTTTTTATGTAAATATCCAAATCTGTTTATGCTCATATTATTGTTATTATCATGATTGATCTCCTGACACTTTAAATATTCTTTTCTGTTCATTCCACATAATATCTTTTTCCATACACATAATTCCCTTTATCATTTTAAAAAGTGCAAGAATAAAGATTCTGACAGAATAGCATGAATTCATTTTCACTTCATAGGTTCTCTTCAACTACATACAATCTGTGATATTTAAGATCATGATGATATAATGGGTTTAGATTACTTACATGAATGTGTTTGGTTGGGAGTTCTATTGAAGACATATTTATAGAGTACAGCAAGGGTGGAAATAAAATAGACTGAATATTGTAAATATATACCTTATATGATGAAAGAACATTCTACAACATTGTGACAACAGTTCAAACGGCTAGAAACAAATGATTACATAATGAATAAATATTGATAGGAATATAGTGAGTAGAGCTCAGTTGATAAAATAAAATGATTGATTTGGAAAATCGTTGAAATAAAACTCGTCCTACATGAAAATCAGTAATCTGAGGTTTAGCACTTTTGAAGAACACATTTGGAATAGGGATGGAATAATACGCTTAACATGACGAGCAAGAAGTTACATCGTGCTTACATCTAGTTTAAGCGCACTATTTCTGACAAAACGTATCTCTCAAGTGATGAAATTTATACTATCTTAGTGGTACATGCTGTAGGGTTAAACTTCAATGTTGTTTCGCTTTCGTGACAATTTACCAGTAGGCAAATTTTAAGGCCTATCTGATAGAAATATATGTGGTAATAAGATTTATGTGAATAATAATTCCATTTAAATTGTAAGCACACTATGTCATATTATTATTTAAAAAGAATGATGACCCAAACCTAATGTATTTTTTGTTAACGTTTTTTATACATATGGACATACACGCAGTGCATTGGGGTCAAATGCATGTTTTTAGGATGTAAGTGGTGATAGTTGTCAATGTACTTCCGAAAACCATACATCTAACTCATCATCGCAATCTATGCAAACAAGACGAACTCAGTTATCTGTGCATGCTTCATTTGTAACAAATGCACGCTTTTGGTCTGTATATACGTGTAAGACTAGATTTTTGACATCAGTTAGCTTTATTACTAGAAAAATCATTGACTCAGGATTTTTGTCAGTGCTCTCACGTCAAAAATCACTGTTTTCATCTATTCTTCGCTAGCTGTTTGATTTACATACGTTTGTTCATCGAACAACAGGGTCTTTTGAAGGTTCGTGCGGTTCTTTTTCGCGCTCACTGGGTATATGTGTCGTCCGTTTGCACTAATTTGGCGACGGCTTTTTATCTCAAAAGCCTTTTATAAAGATCAGGATGGGGATTGAACTTAAGACATTCTGTCATGAGATTCATGATTTCGATACCCTCAAATTCTCTTGCACTCGTGAAAACATTTTTGAAAGTTCTGTACATGAATATACCTCCACATACACACTGCTGTGATTTGTTACATTTTGTTCCTTTGGATGTATATTTTGCTTATCTTGATTCCACTTAGGATGGAACTATTTGTATTTTTCGCAGTCTTCTTTCCTTACTTCTTCATTGTATCTGTAAGTTTTATCTGAATCACATCTACGTTTTTTTAGTCAGTATTAGGTTATGGCAACTGCTATTCTGGTTAACTCCTCTCATACATTGTGTTGCTCACAAAGACTAGCATTGTGTATATGTCGCCGTGAATTGAAGCAATCTTCTTAAACTGGAAACATTCCGTGTTGTAACGATATCAAGTGTTATCTTGCTAACAATCTGTATGTGACCTATTCAGAAAGGCTAGGATAATATTTATTTGCTGTATGTCTTTTATTAGTTAATTTTCTTAATGTAATTCAGTTTTACCTACTGATTGAACAATTATTGGTTGAAAAACTAGGTGGTAATATTTGTTTAGGTAACGATGTACATTTAAATTTATAATGAAACTTATAACTGTCATTTACCCAATCGCGTTGTTTTGCTTTCAACTGGGCGATAGCGCGTACTTTGGCTTTTCTGATGTTGACTTACCGATCCAAGTCAACTGACACCTGGGGTAAATAGAGAGGAAACTTTTCAAAGCATATGTAATAGAAACATGGACGGGGTGACTTGAAATGAATCCAAAGTACTCCATAGATTCTGTAGTATTACGACCGTAGTGGACTAAGCTACTACAGAAATTATGTT